AAATTCATGCGCAACGTACTAATGTTAATACACAATATATTAAATAAATATTCTAAATACTCATTCTCAATATTCCTTTTACAATATATTAAATAAATTATTTTATGATTATGTATAAATTCATACATAAATAATCGGAATTTTTTGAATTTTATTACACGAAAATCCTAATTGGTGACACAGTGAAACGGGGAATTAACGTATTAATGGAACTCGTTGTATATACAAATTATCATTATTATAATACAAGGGCTAAAATTCATGGTTATACTTTAATTTTTACAAGGAATAAAAATTGCACGCAAATACTTTTGATTTATATTAATATTTTTTTTTAAAAAAAATCAAATAGACCAAACATCTTGACTAATTTGTGAAAAACTACATCATTTGATTTTTTTACAATGTAAATAAAGATATATACATACTGAACCAATTAATCGTTTACAATTTTTTTGCTCTTATAGTATATAATAACCTATATTAATAAAATCAGATGATAAAAATAGAACCATAACTAGCTAAAATGTAAACTCTTATTAATCCAGTTTCAAAACAATTATATATACAACAGATTACAACATTTTCCAAAAATGAATTACTTCTCATATTTTTATTTTTTGCAATTCAAGGAACAATCTTGGTTAAATCGGGTAGGTTTGTGTATATCCGAGTGATTTTTTTCTTCGATTTTACATATAAAATTATGCACAAAGATCATTAGTTTCTATAGATTATCTAATGCAATAGTCAAATTAACGTTTCATTTTTGGTTAATATTAATCATTTATATCATGGCCAAAAAGAGATATCTCTTGTAAAGATGAAACAATTGGACCAGTTTCGAAGTTAAAACAGATATCAAATCAGTCCCAATTTTGAATCAGTTTTGAAAACAAGCATCAAATTGGTCCCAGTTTGCACTAGAGATTGGAATTGATTAATAGGTCAAAAAACGATTAATCAATTAAAAAGATAATTTTTCAATTAATCAGTCAAAGGTTAATTCAATTAATTTTTCAAAAAGTAATGACCGATTAATTGAAAAAATGTTGTTTAAATTATTCTTTTTTAGAAATATTTGTGCCCAATTTTGGTACATGGAATATTTCTTCGCAATTCAATATTAAGGAAGTTCTAAAAAATCAACTTCAGTTAAAACAACATCAAGTTCAGAATGGAAGTGGCTAATGAAAGGTTGTTTAGTGATGTAGGTAATAATATTACTATAAAACGAACTAATTTAATATTAAGTCCTAACGTTATTAAAGAGCTTGTATTTTATTTATAAATAGATATTGTTTGTTGCACATATTATTGAATGATTAATTGTTCAAAAAAAAAATGACCCAACAAATTTTTGACCAATTCCAATCTCTAGTTTGCACCAACAAGAAACAAAGACTTGCCTTTTTTTATTTTTAGTGGGTATGGTTGGTTCTGTTAAAATTCTTAAAGGAAACTACTGAATTATCTGTAAAGGACTTGGTATATAAATTCTAAGCAATAATGTTAGTAGTGGTGTATAACGGAGATGAAAAGTTACAACCCAGTCACACATAATTCATATGATAACAAACACAAGGAGACTGGATTGGATAGATAAAGAGGAACTACTTGTTTCGAAACTGATTTTGTAAAAGAGTATTTAATATATACTGTATATATTAAAAATGAACAAATTGGAAGAAATTTTATTTAGAAAATAAGGTAACTTACATAATAAAAATAAATAAATAAATAACTATATATATATATATATATATAATTCATTAATTAATAGATGACACCTCATCCAATGCATTCTTCTGTGAGAACAATAATTTTTTATGGCATATTCTGCAGCACTAAGAGACAATCCTTTTCTATATGCATCCATGTATTTGAAGGATCTATGTGCATATTTTCTTATAGATGAAATTGGGATAGAGTCCAAGGCCAAAGGTATTGTATTCAAAAGTCCACTCCAAGTGTAAACACAATTTTCCCTTGTATATCTTTTAACTGCACCCCAATACATCTCAATAAAGTTTAGTTCACAATGGAACTTAGGGTAGAAGATCACCATATGTCCCACTGCTTCAATCCCTTCTTGGGTGATTCCTTTTTGTGCTTGAAAATCAGGTTGTAGTTCTAATATTTTCAAACCACAACAATCTGACTTTCTATTTTGATCCCTTGATTTCTTGGTTTTACACTCAGAACATACCTTTCTCAATCGAGTCCCTTTTCTACTAATATTGTTCTCATTCCTCTCTACTTTCCATCAGGATCAACCATCTTTTGTTCAGAACCATCAAATACAGTATCTCTCATATTTGGTTGGCTTCGTATTGCTCTTCTATAAATTTTAGAAATTTTTTTCTATATTCTACAACATCATCCCTCTCATGACCATCAGCATAAAGTCCTTTTTCATGGGTGCCAAACTCCCATCCTAATTTTTTAAGCCATCTTTTTGCTGTTGAATCGGATATTTTTTTATCTTCATTATCCATTCCTATATTTGGCAATATTGTTTCATTGACATGCTTACATAAATTTTTAGGTGTTATATCAAATTTTTTGGATCGTACATAACTTCCTACTTGATCAGCAATGTCTTCATGACTCCATAGGCTTTGCATCTTGGAGTGCTTCCCTCTTTTTGAAGTAGGTACAGTTTTATTTCTGATCCATTGTTTGGCCCAGGCACTAATGCATTTACTTTTATAATTTTTTGTCCACCCCAGAGATACTGCCACTATCTCACTTGCTTCAACCTTTTTTTTACCATTATCTAAATTTCTAAAATACATCCCAATTGCTGTTGATCTAAACTTTGTATTATTGTCTAAATCAGGGTTTCAAAGAGCTTCTTCAACAGAATCTATTATATTTCTCCAGTTATCATCTTCATCTTCGTCATTGTCATCATCATCAAGATATTGATCTCTATTAGGAGTTTGAACACCAAAAAATCCAGTAATTTTAGAAGATACAACTGCTGCAATTTTCAAATCTCTGGCATGTCTTTGTTGGTCCTGATTGAACCCCCCAGATAAAAAAGTCCTGCTTTTTTTTGTTGAAGTGTAAGCCTCATTTACAATGGTAAAATTTTCAATTCGATTCATATTCACATCCTCCCAGGGTTTATCATCGTCGGAACTTGAGTCAGATTTAGATTCAGGTTCAGATTCGGGTTCAGCTTGAACTTTCAGGTTCAACTTCAGATCCAGCTTCGGAATTCAAGCCTTCATTTAAATTCATTTCAACATATGTTGGATCATTGCTTTGTCTTTTTGCTTTTGGCTAGCTTTGCAGTAGGTCTGTCCATCTTAGGGTATTGATATATTTAAATTGGAAAAAAGAATTTTGATAATGATAAAGAAATTTGATTTTTAATAATATAGTAATGTTTAAAGAATTTGACTTTTATGTACTTGCTTTGTTATTGTATAGATTAAATTTTTTTATTGGTATAGCTTGGTAAAAACATCTTGTATTTATATTGATTTGATCACTTCTTTAGATCCCAATTTTATTTTATTTCATTTTCTTTAGAATTACATAAATTTATTATATTTCACTTTCTTTAGGGTTACATAAATTTATTTTATATTTTTCTTTTTATTTTCTTTAAAATTACATAAATTTATTTTATTATTTTTCATTAGAATTATATAAATTTCTTTAGATCATTACAAGAAGCATTGACAATAAAAATCGGGTTTACATTTGATTTATCATCACAGTTCTGGATCACTAAACAAACTATTTTACTTTGTGGTAGTAGATATTCTTGGAATATGTATCAATTAGATTATTGAAGGGTACAATCAACTGAATTGTTTTTCAGTTTCAGCCATAACTTTATAAATTGATAAAATCAACTAAATTTCAGCTGTATAAATAATTTATTATTAACCAAAAAACAAATATAAACTGATTTTTTATTATTATTTTCAAATTGGGGAATTACTTGCTTAAAACTGGTTTAGTAAGAATTTTCATTCTGTTTTTTCCCCATTAATGTTAATAAAAACAACAATAAAGGTTGATGCCTAGTCATTCCAAACGAATACCATTCTATGGTAAAATGAGGGAATTGTGCATTGTAAATAATTTAAATGTTATATGTATTCTATATTTTTAATCAATTTTAAATTAAAAAGATCATCTGCCAAGAAATCTTTGACGATATAAATATATACGAATATATGTTCTATAAAATCTCCAACGTTCTTCAACAAGATGAAAATCATCCCAATTTCTTTCTCTCCTCCAATTTCTCAATTCTCTATAGGTTCCAATGAATAAAGAACGATCTTCCCTGATTCTTCTACAAATATTTTCGTAACGTCTAATTGATCTGATCAAGTTATGATAACGAGCATTATTGCTTGAATTTACAGATCTTCCATGAGGCCTAATAAACAAAAACAAATATACATTAATAAACATATTAATTAATTAATTAATAATATTATTATCTCAGTGTTGATGTGTTGATAAAAAAGAATAGCATGGTCAATTAATAAGATAACATGGCCCTTAACATAAACATATGATTAACAGTTAGATGGGCTTCAGCTCCAATGTATGGTACCCTAGCATGCATAATCCTCAAAAGCAGATGCCTGATCGCAAGATGTGAGCACATTGACATTCAACACCTAACTGCTAACTTACTTCCTATTCCTCAGAATAGGCCATTCATTTACACACAATATTTATCATTTATTAAAAATAAATTAAAAAAAAAAAACAATACTTGCATTTTTTCTTTTTTTAAAAGAATAAAAATGAAGAACTTTTATTGATGTTGTAAATGTCGATGTTTTTTTAGCTGTTGGTTGCTAATTGTCGTTATAAAATATATTTTTTTTTAATGTTGTCATAACAGTAGGAAGAAATAATTTTTTACTCATAGAAACTGAATTGAGGATTTACTTGTAACATTTTTATCACGAGTACAATGTACAAATAAAGAAAATAACTAAACATTAATTAATTTTATTATTATTATTATATATTAAATATGGACATAGACTTGTTGATTGATTAATTAATTTAATTAATTATTTTTTATCTATAATATTTAGGCTGATAAGTTGACAAGTCACTCTCTGACATTTTTGAAAACATTAATGAAAAAGTAAAGTTCACTTATACAACAATAATAATGACAATTCATGATTTATCTTTTATCTAAATTAAAAAAAAATTATCAAAAAAAACATAAATAGAAAATATACAAGGTAGTTCGTTTGTTAGTAATAGGTGGCCCAACCAGCAGTTTAAAGACATCAACTATAAAATATATATGTAAATAACGAAATTACCATATTGTTGATTGGAC